ATGTTACAACTCGTCGGTCAGTAAGCGGTTTTCTTCTCATGCTTGGTGGCGGTCCTGTGTGTTGGCAATTGCGAAAACAAAAATCGGTATAAACCTCAACCACTGAAGCTGAATATGTAGCCTTGTCTGAAGCTGCTAAGCAGGCGATTTGGTTTTCTAGGTTTCTAAAGGAGCTACATGTTAGCGAGCTCATACACGATGATGGTATTCTCACCTTTTCTGATAACCAGGGTGCACTTGCGATTGCGAAAGGGACCAATTCTTCTAAAACTAAGCACATTGATGTTGCTTATCACTTCGTTAGGGAATGTATTCTTAATGGAAACATAAAGGTGTCTTACATACCTACAACTTCTATGCTGGCAGATATTCTAACTAAACCTCTTCCGCAGCAAAAAGCTAAACCACTAATTGAAAGGATTTTTCAGATGGTATAGCATTCTCGCATTCACCGCATTGATCAGGAGGAGTGTTGGAAATACAGTTTCCTGCTTTTCTTTCTATCGACCAATGTGGTTGCATGCATCTTGCCTGAACTACAATTCTGAGTTCGGGCAGGATCCCACACTTCTGATCCAATCGGACTCAACGTTAGAGTCTGCTTGAATCCCATTCTTCCTGAACAAATCCAGTCATTGGTTTGTTCGTACTTCTATTGCGTGACCCAGTATTCTCAGTCAGTGGATAATTATTTACTGGTACGGGGTCCCACTTATTTCTGCAGTCGAGTCGGTTCCGGGTAACCTCTATTTCTTATAATTCCACTGTATATATCATAATACCTGTAGTCTATTAGTCAATTAAGCAAACTGAACTTCTTCTCCGTTCTCAGGCAATTCTTACTCCGAAGTCTTCTCTATACTCTAACAGATATGCTATGGGAGGATGCCTTTTGCAGAGAGACAAACTCGGCAGATTACGGCCTGTATCTTATTTCTCAAAGCGCCTTAATAGTGCCGAAGCGAATTAAACAATACATGACAAAAAAATGCTCGCAATAGTAGCTGGTCTTAAGGAATGGAAAGCAGAGTTGAATTCTGTTGCAAAACCTTTCACAATCTGGACAGATCACAAAAACTTGAATTTCTTTGCAACAAAACTGCTCTTAAACGAACTTCAGACAAGATATAACGATGTGTTGCAACAGTTTAGGTTCGAGCTGAAGTGGCGAGCGGGTAGAGCAAGTGATAGACCAGATGCCTTATCACGGCGCGACCGAGACAAACCAAAAGACTTAAATGATGAACGGCTAGCGGGTCAAATAATGCAGCTATTACCGTCAGTATCTTTGGGCTCAGCAGAGATTATACCCAATGGCTCAAATGCTAAGGAAAGAGGTGAAAGAGCACCTGTCAAACTCGAGGGTGCCAAAGGTAGCGTCGGGAGTGTTACTGAGTGACTTGGGCAATATCTGAGGAGGTTGACAAGAGTCAAAGGTATAAATTTGTAATTGCAACTAGAACTAAGGACGAGGGACGAGGGACAAGGGAATCTAGGATCGGATACAGGGCCAGTGGAAGACGGAAGACAAGACGTGGCCCTCTACTACGGCTCTATCCAATCCATACATACATCATAGTAACCAGAGCAACCTAGGTCTCATAGACTCCACCTTCTGCTACTCGATTACTCAATTCGTAACCCATGGCAACCATTGTATCCCAGTAACCTCTATCCTCAGTTCCTGACAGCACCTAAGGCAATATTTTTGACAACATTGAGCTGCAAAGTCTGTGGGAGCAAGCCACTGTAAAGGATAAAATTTAGCAGCGGGCCTACAAATCCGTAAAATTAGGGGAAAGTAGTTTTCCACCGGATATTGCGAATTAGATGAAGGCCAATATTGCAGAATGTTCGGTAGCCACAGATGGTCTCTTACGAGGAAGAGAGAATTGTATATGGGTGCCACATTATGAACCTCTCCGAACAGCTATTATGCAGCAGACACACAATAGTCACTTATCAGATCACCCAGGTCGAGATACAATGGTTGAAATACTATTGCGACGATGGTTTTGGCCAAAGATTAGAGAATCAGTTCGTAGATTTGTCAGGAACTGCAATATATGTGGACGTTCCACAATCTGGCAAGAGGCAAAAGCAGGCTTCTTGAAGTCATTACCAATTCTAGAACGCATTGACAGTGAACTCACTATCGACTTTGTGACAGATATGCCCATGTCACGAGGTTGCACAAACATTATGGTACTTACAGATAGACTATCCAAAGATATCATGTTGTTTGGCACGTCGCCGATGGAAGCTTAAAAGTGCGCAGAGTTGTTCGTAGATCAATACTACCGCTTTTTCAGTTTCCCACGCTATCTAACAAGTGATGGAGGCTCTGACTGGTTAAGTCATTTCTGGAAAAACTTCTGCGGACTGACCGGAATAAATCAGATGCTGACAACGACCTACCTTCCACATTCAAATGCAAGTGAGAGAGCAAACCAAGAAATGTACAAGTATCTTAGGTCACTTACTTGTTACTCCCAGGATGATTGGATGTATCTGTTACCTTTGGCTCAAATGGCATTGAATTCCCAACCGAGCTCAGTCATAGGAGGGATGAGCCCATTCTTCCTGCGAAACGGATACAACGTAGAGCCTCTAATGGAGCCTACCCCAGCCGAGGGACCTACCTCACGTCATCCAGGTAGTATTGGCGCACAAAAATATGTTCAGCGTTTGAAAGACGCGCAGGAATTTGAAAAAGCAGCAACGGCATCGACCCAGCAGCGGAACGAGCTGAACGGTAACATGTAACGTCGACAACCCGAGCGATATAGAATAGGGGATAAAGTTTGGTGGATTTTGCAGCATATCAAATACACCTCAACTGTCAAAAAAATTGGCTTGGCAACATGCTAAGTATACAGTTATAGGAGTACCTGATGCATTGACTGTAGAACTCAACGTACCCGGCAATATACATTAAAGATTCCATGTGGAATTAATTAAACGAGCCGGTACAGATCTTTTTCCAATTTAAGTACGCGACAATGCTCAAAATCATCAAATGGTTGACAAGCTGGGTAATGAAGAATTTGTAGTCGAATCTCTTATTCGAGCGCGAACGGTGCGACGTGGACGAGGGGTGTTTTGGCAGGCCCTAGTGAAGTGGGATAGTGAAGCGGACCCGATATGGGAGCCAATAGAATTCATAGAGGGTACTGAAGCCTTAGATAGGTTTGAGAAAATTTATGGTCCGATCGAAAATAACAATGGACCTCTGTTGGAAATATCGCGCAATGAAACGGGCGCAATATTCATGGAATGAAAGTAGAAGTTGACTAAAAGAGTGTCATGTTCGGATTATGGCTAAAACTGTGGGAAATGTGCGCTACAAGTACAAGTATAAGCAACACGTAGCCTAAGCCACAGCATAAACAAGTGTGGCGCCATCTAGGCATAGAAAACCTCCAATAACCTCCTTGCGCCCTCGCCATACAGCTGCTCATATATCCAATAGGTAGCCTGATGTTGTGATGTGATTATTGCATTTACTCTAAATTTATCTCCGCCAAGTGCTAGGGATACAACACATCTATGCAAGTACTGCAGAGCCCAACATGTCTATCTTTACGATCGACTATTGAGGCGCAGCTCTATACAATGGCAGAGAGTAATGTGGGATAGTATTGCATGGAATTAAGATTGTAGTACTTCATGCATTGACGGTGATGTACTGTATAGCGGGTACCAAATATGTGTATATAAGTCCTATCTACTAATGTGATATGTAGAAGAATATAACCAAGCTATTCATCATATCGTCAAGCTCTGATAATCGTTATCCAACCTCTGCACTATCCCTAGAATATTCAACATCTCATACCTACTCATACCTTAATCACAACACCTGAAGCGCTACCATATTACCTATTCCAACCTCTTAAACACACATAAGATCTTGTCGGGATCCTAGACAAAATGGAGGGCCCGTACGTTCACAACACTCAGTGTCTCCATTTCCAAAAACCTCCAGAGGAAAGCGTGGGAAATTTTGTTGGTTCAGCTGAAAAGAATATGATTCAAAAGCAGCGCCTTAAACAAAAAAGAAAAAATTTTTGAATGCCTCTAAAAAGTGGAAGGGGCAATGTATCGGCTAGTGAGCCAATAAGATCCCTGTAGCCTGTGCTATTCAGCACAGACATATTCATAGTGTCAGCACTAAGTTACGCTGGCATTGAAATTCGGAAACTGCCCATGTTTAAGACATTGTTGGAAACTAGCCCACACCTGAATAATGGGGTCATAACTGGAGGACAGCTACTAATGTTTAGAATATTGGAATTATGTATATATAAGGCGTTAGATGTAGCATTGCTTTTGTTTTACAGTTAATAAATAAACTCACCTTTCGACATACAAACGCCTAAGCTTTATATACCGGAACCATTACACTATATCAACTTTAAGAACTTTTCAACATAACCTTTACAGAAATCGAATATCTCCTAATCCAAACCATTATCTGTTAGAAATTTTCAAGGATTTCTAGGAGGAAATATCTTGAAGAACAAGTGTACAATTTTGGACAAGAATTTATTGAAAGTTATATATGATATCAAACTCTCTTCTCAATATGAATTAATAATATATAATACTCTATTTTACTTAGTTTAACATGTCAAAGTAAGTTCATCCTTAAATATAGATCCCGGAGGCTTCAGTGATCCCAAACTCCAAGTGATCTAGCAACAACCAGCCACTAAATTATCGCAAGGTATTATTTGCTAGCCACTGCATTCCAGATACCACTGAACCTCATGTCGCCCAGCTAAGCTTAATCATATTCAATCGAATCAATTCAATTGATCTGATGATCATACCTAGAAATCTAAACCTCCATACATACTAAGTCTAGATTTCCAACATTATCATGTCTCTATTGTTCCCAAAACATCTCTCAGAAATGGCCGAATCAGTTGATAAAGAAAAATGGGGAAAGAGTTTTAACCCTAAGGACCCAGGAGATCTTACTGAAAAGATTGTTAATGGATATATATTACACACCAAATTGTGGTATGAGAAAGGAGAATATAAAGACTATGAATTGTGGGAAGTGTTTAGAGAGGACTTTGAGGGATGGACAGCAGAAATCTTCAATATGGGAGATACTAAAATTCGGCGCGACTTCAGGAATTTCCTAGTACAACATGGGGTCTACATTCCAAGAGATGGAGGAAAACTTTTCGGTGCTTTGTTCAAGGTTGTCATTGATGAGAATTTCCATGAATGGACAGAACAAGAGGTCAAGGAATACATGAAGAATGCAAAGGATATCTTCTCGAGATTCTATCCAAGTAGACAGACTACGCTAGCAGTACCTACTCTCCAAGGTCCTCTACTTGAACAAATGCCTCTGTCTAGCTCAATTAAAATTGGAATCAAATCAGAGCCTCCCCCTCTCACAAAAACTTTCGGACTACAAGACTCATGTACCTCTCCATATGCTTTTTAAAACAAAGGACCTAAATTCCCTCCATTTCCACAAGCAAAAATCCAGACACAACCTGAAAGTACAAAATTTGCATCATAATTAAACTTGATGCCATCTCCCCTTCCGGTAGTAGCAACTAAGCTCCTTACCAATTTAATAAATTTTAGCAAGATGACCCAAAGAAGTACTCTCGAGAACTTTTCGATATTCTCAACATAAAGCTTCAGATTTTCTATGATTGCTGCCAGAAAGTGGGGCTGTGAGTTGATCAATACCAAAATGCCTACTCCATCATGCCAAAAGGTCGCGCCAGCTCTTTTTATTATGACCGGCTGGCTGTTTATGGTTATGACTTCATGAACATGATAGGTATGACCAAAGCTCACTTTGAAATAGAGGAGAATAAGTAGCTATACATGTCAGAGTGGAGGGAAACCACATTGCCTACTATTATTTTCCAGTACCCTTCTGCGACGCAATTAGACTGTCTCCAAAAGCTTTTTGATAAGTTCCAAATTGTTCAACGAGGCTTATCTGAGACATATTAAACAGAGTACAGCCTAAGCAATCAAGTCATTAATGCTTGCAGGGGAGTCGAAGAATGTAACCTGGCCCTATACAACCCTACAAACACCTATGAAGGTATTTGTGCACAAGGTCTGCAGTTGTTACAGCACCAAGATCTCGAAATTCATAACATTTTGTCTCTAATAACTATAATCCTTAAAATGAAGCGGCTCAATAAAATCAAAATTGGACTGACCGTACATATGGAGGACGTGGTAGTAAGTATGGTTCTGGCAATTTTAAAATGCGTGGGGAATTATTAAATAACTACTCTGGAGAAGGCTATCCCCATAGTGATAACTTATGTGGAAGCCATGACCATAGTAAAAGATTGATTTTCTCGCCTAGGCAGAAATGGTGTTTTATCTGTAAGAAACCAACTTGCTGGTCGAATAAACACACTGAATAGGAACGTTAAGCATTCCAAAAGCTCCGCCAAAAATTGCAGGATAATTTGATGTCATACTTCCAAACATTTCTTGTAAATTTCGAAGGAATAGAAGAGTGGTCTGAAGAAACTATCTTAGATGAAACGGAACAACTGCTCATGAAAATTGAGATAGACGATCTACAAAACCGGAACTTCTTTGCAGAGTTTGGTGAAATTGATGGTGCTCACACTGTTGCAATTCTCAAAGATCAATTGATATTTCATGCAATCACTAAAGCAGATGTTTTCAAGAAACCTAATGTCAACCCTGATTTTAGGCTCACCAATGATTCAGCATTCACTTTCAATGACTAATACACTTCAGTTACCTTCCAGGGGATCATGCCTGATAGTGGTGCCGCTGGCGTATCAACTGTTGGGGCTTCCGAATGTGCTGCGCTGCAGCAGCTCAACCCTTCGGTTCAGATTGATACCTCCACAGCTGTGAAATACCAAATTCGATTTGGGAAAGGCGAAGAACTATCACAAGGTTCTGTTACAGTTTCGACGCCTTAGGGAAACAAAACTTTTCATGTTTTTCCTACTAACACTCCATTTCTATTATGCATCCAAGATATAGATAGAATGGGGGTTAAGTTAGATGACTTGGAGAATGTTCTGATAAAAGGTGACAAAGTTGTGCCAATTATACGCAAGTTTGGTCATCCATGGATGTTATTAAATCATCCAGAGCAGAGCATTGCACGGAATCATCTAACTAGACTAGAATTACGTCAATTACATCGCCGCTTTGGACATCCTGTGAAACGTTAAGTCATGTTCAGGCATTCAAGTTGGTGTCTCGTCTTATTTCGTTATTTCACAATTACGGGCTTATTATTTTTGCGGTTGTTTTGAAATTGTTATCTCCACATAACGAAACAGAGTTAGCGTTTAAACATTGCTCTGGATGTTTCGGATTGAACAGAGGTAGAAGTTGGATCAAATATGATCATTAAATATTTAGAAGAGGTTCTGACCTTTAAAAAAAGATATACAGATTTTGATCTTACCAAATGCAAACCTCATTTTTCCTAAAAAGTCTTATACATCCATCAAGCTGGCAACTGTTCAAATTACTTCAAAGGGCAGGCAATGATGTTTATTTGGCTGCTATTGAAAAGTTAACTAAGTATTGCCATCTATGTCAGATGAATGGGAAGTCACCTGGACAATTTAAATTTTCGCTATAGAAAGATTATGATTACAACTTTGAAATTGTTGTTGATGTCATGTGGATTATCAATAATGTTGAAATTGGCGTTACTTGGCAATGAAGAGTTGCATTAACATGGAATGTTATAAGGTTCGAATATTACTAGGATGTTCTTGACAGCTCATACATTGACCAGCCTCCCAATTATCTAGCATAAACTAATGAATCGTGTCCTTCGCTTAGCTGTAGTAATTAGTTTAAATAGCGCTCTGATACTAGGTGGGTTTAATCAAGAACTCTCCACTATAGTTTTCAGACTCTTCAATCTCCCAACTCGCTTCACTAGGTGATATTAAATACAAGCCTAACAGCTTACGCTACTCTACCAAACTTCTATTCCAAAAAATAAGCCAGTATTTCATGCAATTGATACAGCAACATATTTTCAGGCAGCTAGATTCCTCAAGAACATGAATGCCAAAACGGCATGGGATACTTTGCAAATTTGCTGGATTGATGTATATCTGGGACCACCTGACTACGTTATGCATGACGCAGGAACCAATTTTGCACCAGAGGAGTTCAGATAATCCGCCAATTCGATGGCAATAAATGTAAAGGAAGTTCCAATCGAGGCACATAACAGTATAGGTAAAGTGGAACAATACCATGCTTTGCTACACCGAGCTTTTGAAGTAATACGTGAAGAGCTTCGAGATAAGACAAACCTAGATCTTTTCTTGCAAATGGCAATTAAGGCTATCAATGATACAGCAGGTCCAGATGGTATTGTGCCGACCTTACTCGTTTTCGGCGCATATCCTAGGATGACAAAAGAATCGTCACCATTGTCCTCGATCACTCAGAGAGCTGAAGCAATCCGCAAGGCAACTTAAGAGGTTAGACGTCTTTATGTCCAACAACAAGTTAAGGATGCTCTTTCCATGAGGCACGGCCCCAACACCAACTCGCTGTTAAATTTGCCTTTGCAATCAGATGTCCGTGTTTGGCGTGAAAAGGAAAAGTGGATAGGTCCATTCAAGCTTATTTCCATAAACAGTGAAAATTGCACAATTCAAATGTTTCATGGGCCAGTTACTTTCCATTCAACCGTGGTAGAATCTTATTAAACAGAAAACCATAATGATATTTCTGATATATTGATAAAGATGACTTGGAGTGGGAAGTTCAAATCGAACCTTATGATCCATGCACTGAGCAGCCAGAGGAGCAAGGTCATAGATTGCCAAAAAGATTCAGGCACAAACCAGGTGCTTATTTTGTGTATAAAAATACCAATAACAATGGCACTTCAGATATTGAATGGGAACTTTAAAATTATTGGGCCTTTATATCAGAAAAAGAAAAGTCGGATTTTAAACTTAACCTGGAACTACGTAGGCAAGGCAAGATCATCACCCCTGGTCAGCCATTTGAAGCATTGGATAAGCAAGAAATTGATAGCCTAATAGAAAAAGGGGTCTTTAAATTTGAAAAGTTTGATACAAATAAGTGTCACGGTTTCATTACAAAATGCATGATCAATGTTGTAGGTACAATATTTAAATTATAATTCTCTGAAGAGAGAATTTCTGTACTTAATGACTACCTATATATACAGTCTGAAATACCCCTCCTCAATAAGGTTCTCTCTATGACCTTTCAACTCATACTCTCCGACAATCGCCTGTAGATCCTTGATACTTCTGTAACCCTCATGAACTCTCAGTAGGTTTCAACAAGGCTCAATATGAATCATCTAGGTTCCCTGTCATCCAAGATCTTCCCAGGAACCTCCCTTCGTATAATTGCCTGCGCTAGACAGCGTAGGCTACAGGAACCCTTAGGCTTGACAGCCGTCACAATAAGCACAGTAGTACCTGCATCTTCAAATCAAGGATAGTCAGAGAAGTTAATGGCAAAACAATTATCACCCCATACGAAAAATCTAGGCTTGTAATCCAAGGGTGCAATGATAGAGGCAAAGAAATAATTCTCACTCAATCCCCAACAATACAGTAGGCAAGCCAGCTATTAATAATTGCCCTAACTCCGACCATACAAAAACTGCAGATGGAACTATGGCTTCGTAATATTTCTCAAGCATATACTCAATTGATAACAAAGCTTAATCGCATTGTACTAGCCGAACTCCCGATTGAGATAAAGCATCTGTATCCTCTACATACTATTATGGTCATTATTAAACCCCTGTATGGGATTGCAGAGGCGGGAAACCAGTGGTGAGCTACATATAATATACACCACAGGGAGAAATTGTTAATGATCACATCTACTTACGATCCATGTCTTCTACTCACAACATCAAAAGATAAATTTGGTAATGTAAGAATGCAGACAGATAATACTTTCATTTTGTCAGATGAAAAGTTTGCAGCCCTCGAGGAAGATAAGCTTGCAGAGGCCAATTTTGTTGTCAAACCTAGGAAGATGCTAGCCCAAACTTCCTCATAAGACTTCAACAGATGCATCTTGATCCAGATTGGCAAAAAAGTGTTTCTACGACAAAAAGAACAGAGTGAGAAAATTCAACTTA